CAGGTGGCGGAGACCCCGGCGTCTCAGGCGGTGAGCGAAGCGCGGGCCTGTTCTCTCTCTCTCTCCCCTCTTCCTCGCCGTCCCACCCTTTCTCTCCCTCCGCTCCTTCCCGTCGCTGGGGTCCGGGGGGAACGCTGGGAGGGAAGGCTCGCCTCCAGCTCCCGCCACGTACCCGGGCCGCGGCTGAGGAGACACGGGCGCACCCGTGAGGGCGGCGGGCGGTGAGGAGAAAGCGCCTGTGAGGACCGGCTGGCTGCGAGAGGCACGCGGCCGGCCGGCCCTGTCAGCCGCGGCCGGGGCCTCGCCTTCCTCCCGCCGCCTCAAGATGGAGCGTGGACTTCTTGCTCCTGCGCCGCCGCCTCGGGCGCCGCTCGCTCTTCTTCTCTCGGCCCGCGCCCTCTCCTCAGCTCCTGAGGTGGGCGCGGGGGCTCCGGGGACGGCTCTGCCCCTCGTGGAGGCCGCGGGTCCGGTTGGACCTGTTGCCCTGGACGCCGCAGCTCGTCACCTGAGCCGTCCTCAGTCAGGCAGGGGACGCCGGGTGCCCGCGAGCCGGCATGGAGGGCGCCCTTGCCCCGGTCGGCCCGGCCACGTCCCTGCTACGTCCCTGCTCGGCCCTGGGCTTTTGTTTTCCCTCAGACCCCACGGATCATGATTCTCTGAGGAGAAAGGGTGACTGGGGTGCCAGAGCTCTGAAATCACCGCTGCCGGGTAACCCAAACCTGCTCCCGCGGCCGGGGATTGGCGCGGAAGACAGATGACACTTGTTCGGGGATGGGGGCGGGGGGGTTTTAAAAGCAAGAGCCTTCTGGCTTTTCTCGAATTAGGAAGCCTTGCATTCTTCTGAGAACAACAAAACCAACCCAGAATACCGGATTCTGATTTTGGAGTCTAGCCCTGAGATCTCGCAGTCTCCACTTCATGTGGCTTTCCCATCTGGCAGGAACCGCGCGCCACCCCCTTCCTCCTGCCCAGCCCCACCCCTCGGGTATGAAGAAATGACACGTTAGATCTGTAGTCCGCGTGGATACCTCTTTTTAGCAAAAACTTGGGCGCCAATTACTGTTCTTTTAAGGGGCGTGGAGATGATTCTGTAATTTCCCTTTTCTTTTTGTGTGCATGTGATTCAGCAGCCTGGCCTCTCCCTCTTCTAGGCCGGGACTGTGGCTGCTTGGGGCTCTCTAACTATTTATGCCGTGACTGGCTGCTGCGATTTGATGGTTCGGGTTCTGGGATAGTATTATTATTACTCGTGCCCGTGGTTTCCGGTCCGGAGAGCAGTGTTTGGCTTCTAGGAGTACTGATAAGCTTGTGCGAGACTCCTCAGGTATGTTGTGCCTCAGCCCCCGGGGGCATTTCTTCCTTTTGAAAGAATAACAATTAACCTTTATTGAGAGCTTATGGCCAGGCTCTGGGCTAGAGTGGGGTTTTTCAGCTCGTGTAATCCACCCTACCTAGGGAGGTCGTTGTCATTCTCATTTTACCGAGAGGGCGTTGAAAGGTCAGAGTCACAGCCTATAAGTGATATCAGGAGTTGTACTTCAGTCTGCTTAGTAATTTTGTCCGAACAGTGAATCAATGGCAAAAAAGCAAGGTTAGACGTTGTTAAAGCCCAGGAAGTGGGCGAGTGCTCGACTGAGAGTTAAGCCCCTTGTTGAGGTGCAGAGAAAGCTGTTGGCTTCCTGCTAGACCTGGCTGAAACTGGGTGGCAGCTTTCCTAGCATCCCTGAACATGAGGATTTTGCTATTCTTGTTTTTTCAGTCATTGTTGAGCACACAAAACAAGCCAACCTGTTCTTTAAGGATAGAAACCTGAAGGGGTTTAGTAGTTACTGAAACTTCCTTTTAGTACATTATATATTTAGTGTGTGTGTTTGTGTATGTGGGTGGGTGGGTGCCCGTGTTCTGGAATACTGTTGTAGAGGTCAGAGGGCAGACAGCTTGTGGGAGCTGGGTCTTCTGTCATGTAAATCCAGTGGATCAAACTCAAGTTGTCAGACCTGACTGCAAGCAACTTTTCCTGATGAAGCCATCTTTCCAGCCCTAGAAGTTTAGTACTTTTATTTATTTTTACCCAATTTCTATAATTTGTTTATTTTTATTTTATGTGCATTGGTGTTTTGTCTGCATGTGTGTCTGTGTGAGAGTGTCAGATCTTGGAGTTACAGGCAGTTGTGAGCCACCATGTGGTTACTGGGAATTGAACCCAGGTCCCGTGGAAGAGCAGCCAGGGCTCTCAACTGCTGAGCCATCTCTCCAGCCCAATTTTTACCCAATTTCTTTTTTTTTAAAGATTTATTTATTTATTATATATGTATTCCTGCTTGTCAGAAGGGGGCCCCAGATCTCATTACAGATGGTTGTGAGCCACCATGTGTTTGCTGTGAATTGAACTCACGACCTCTAGGGAGAGCAGCCTATCCTTTTAACTGCTGAGCCATCTCTCCAGTCCTATTATTTCTTTTTTTTTTTTAAAGATTTATTTATTTATTATGTATACAACATTCTGCCTCCATGTATGCCTGCAGGCCAGAAGAGGGCACCAGATCTCATTACAGATGGCTGAGAGCCACCATGTGGTTGCTGGGAATTGAACTCAGGACCTCTGGAAGAGCAGGCAATGCTCTTAACCTCTGAGCCATCTCTCCAGCCCCCAGCCCTATTATTTCTATTATTAACTTTGTTACATGATCCATTATGTGTGTGGAACTAAACCCAGGTCTTGCAAGAGTGGTAGTAAGTGCTTTTAACCTTTGAGCTATCTCTTTAGCCCTGTTTAATTGTACACACCCACACTCATGGGGAATTTGTGCATATTAGTGAAGTGCCTAGGGAGGCCTGATGAGAACCAGAATTATAAGCAGTTGTCAGTCTTCCAATAGAGAGAACCCAGCTCAGGTCCTCTATAGTTACAGCACTTGCTCTTAACTGCTGAGCTTTCTCTCCAGCACCCTCTTTTCTTAGATTTATTTTTATGTGTATGAGTGTTTGTCTGCATGTTTATGTTTTATGTGCATCCCTGGAGTTATGGGCGTTTGTGTGAGCTGTCATGTGAATGCTAGGAACCAAAGCTGGGTCTTCTGCAACAGCAGTAAGTGCCCTTAACTGCCTCCCCCCTAACCCCCAGACAAGGTTTCTCTGTAGCTTTGGAGTGTGTCCTGAAACTAGCTCTTGTAGACCAGGCTGGCCTCGAACTCACAGAGATTAGGGTGGTGTGCGCTACCACCTTCCTACCTCTCCAGACCAGGGCTTGGAATCAAGAGGGTTGTGTGTAAGGGATGATTTGGTCTTGAATCCCATACAAAGGTAGGAACTTTTAAACGTCTTTATGTTGACTTCCTGATGTTCTTCATTATTATTTATAAGTAGATTTCTGTTTCTTCTTGAATTGACATACCAAAGGCAAGGGACTTTGCGCCCCCTGCCCCCAACTCGGTGAAATCCTCTACAGAATTCTGCCATTTTATGTGCTCAAACTCTTTGTTATGTAGTTAATTGAAATTATGGGATCCATAAATTTCAAGACTGGCTTTGTAGATGCCAGCACTAAAGAAGAAGAAAAAACACAGAAGTGGATTATAGTAAAAGGAGATGGCTTAATCTTTGTTGACATTAAAAAAAGCCATCTGACCCGTAATTCCCAGCACGAGTTATTACTCTGCTCATGAATTATTAGACAGCTGTGTAAGGAGGCTTTAAACTATTACAGCATCCTATATATTTTTAATAAACATAGGGTATGTTGCCCATCTAGGTGGAACTCAAGGATCCCTGTGCTTTAAATCAGCATTTGCTTTAAGGGAATCATTGATGAAGACTGACCTTTAGACTGCAGTCAGGATACAGAAGAAACTTCTCCCACTCTTTCTTTCTTTTTTTTTTTTTTTAATAGGTTGACAGATTGTACTTAACCAACCTCGAATTTGGCTAGTACATCTGGGTTAATATCCTGGACCTGGCATGAAGTACCAAGGAATCTTGGCCACAGTCAGTAAAGAGATTTTTTTTTCCCTTAAATTTCCATCTGGCACTTCTGGAAGGGCAGATTCCATTAGCACTAACTCAATGGGTGGGTCTGTTTTTTGGTTTTCTGTTTATTGTGGTCCAGCAACATCTTAAAAGTTGTTGTTGTTGTTGTTTTTTTTCAAAGTCCTTGACAGGAGGAAATAGTCCTGTTACAGGATGCCTGTTGGGAAGCCTGTCTAGTTTTTTAGTCCCTGGGGAAGCCTTCAGTTGAGTGGTGGTGGTGCATGGCTTTAGCCTTTAATCCCAGCACTCAGGAGGATTTCTGTGAGTTTGAAACCAACCTGGTCTACAGAGTGAGTTCCAGGACAGTCTCCAAAGCTACACAGAGAAACCCTGTCTCTAAAAACCAAAGAAAAAGAATAAAATAATTATGTAATGATATGACCCAGTTTGCTTTTAACTTGAGTTATGTAGCTTGTTTACTTGCTTACTTCTATCTAAACTTGGATTAAATCCCAGTTGAAGAGTCTGCCCATTTTTGACACTTGAAAGTGGCAAGTCCTTGATTGACAATGTTATTTTTGAAATCAAGGGCTGAAGGATCCAGATGTTCAGGATGTGCAAATCATCTGGAATTTGGGTTTGATGTATAACAGAAAAGCAACTTTAACTTTTTTTTCCTGACTGTACAGATTATTTTTATTTCGTGTGTGTGTGTATGTGTCTGCGCATGTGTGCACGCATGCCACAGCATGAATGTGGCGGTCAGAGGATATGTTAGTTACTTCACTGTTGCTGTAATGAAACCCTGTGACTGAGTCAGCTTTTAGAATAGCGTTTATTTGGGTTTATGGTTCCAGAGGGAGACACTATCATGACATGGCAGCGGGGAGCAGGAGCAGAAAGCTGAGGATTGATTACATTTTCACCTGCAAGCATTAAGCAGAGAGAGCAATCTGGAAGTCTGGTGAGGCTGTGAGCTCTCCAGGCCCACCCCTAGTGTTTGTTGCTGTACCTCCTCCTCCTCAGCACCAACTGAGGACCAAGTGTAAAAATACCTGAGCCCATGGAAGACAGGCATTCAGGCCACCAGGGAGGTCAGTAAAGGGGGTCAGTTCTCTCCTTTCACCATGTGGTTTCCAGGGAGGCTTGGCAGCAGAGTGCTCCTGTACATAGCCATTTTTCTGGCCCTATACATTCCTCAACTCATGTCGTACCCTGAAGTATTTGGAACCCCTTTTAGGAAAAATAAGTGATAGTAGGGGTATTTTCCTAGATTTTTTTTCCCCTTTGAGACAGGGTTTCTCTGTGTAGCCCTGGCTGTCCTGGAACTTCCTCTGTAGATCAGACTGATCTTGAACTCAGAGACCCGCCTGCTTCTGCCTCCCAAGTGCTAAGATTAAAGTGGTGTGCCACCACCTCCTGGCTCTAGATTTTTTTTTAAATATAAATAGCCTTTATTGGTTGCAGTAGTCAATTGAAGAGTCCTGTTCTTGTTATTTAGGTCTTATCTACAGATCCTGTTAAAGCCTGAAAATTGTGTCTGTGTGTGTTGCTGGAGATCGAATCCAGGACATTGTGCATGCTAGGCAAGTGCTCTAGTGCTAAGCTACAAGCCCGGCCCTTTGAAGACTTGTGGGTTTTTTGTTTGTTTGTTTGTTTGTTTTTGTTTTTCAAGACAGGGTTTCTCTGTAGTTTTAGAGCCTGTCCTGGAACTCGCTCTTGTAAACCAGGTTGGCCTCGAACTCACAGAGATCCGCCTGCCTCTGCCTCCTGAGTGCTGGGAGTAAAGGTGTGTGCCACCACCGCCAGGCCTGAAGACTTTGTTTTTGAATACTTTTAAAAAAGTAGGGCGGTGGTGGCGCACACCTATAGTCCCAGCACTTGGCTGGCAGAGGAAGGAGGATCTCTGTGAGTTCGAGGCCAGCCTGGTCTACAAGAGCGAGTTCCAGGACAGGCTCCAAAGCTACAGAGAAACCCTGTTTTGAAAAACAAAACAAAAAAAAGGAGTATATATGTGTGTGTTGTGTGTGTGTATCTAAGTGTGGATTTGTATATGTGAGAGCAGTGCCTGCAGAAGCCAGAGGAGAGTGTTGGATCTCCTCAAGCCAGAGTCTTAGGTGGTGGTGAGCCACTGAACACAGGTTCTTGCAAACAAACTCAGCTCTTTTGCATGATCAGTATTCAGTCTTGACTACTAAACTGTCTCTCCAGCCTCAGCCATCAGTTTTTGTTATTGTTTTATATTTTATTTACTAAAAGATTTTTTATTTTTTTATGTGTGTGTGTTTTTATGTGCATACATGTGTACAATGTACATGCTTGACAAGTGTAGAGACCGGAAACGGGTGTCAGATCCCT